TGACCAACTATTACAACGTCGACAAGCAGCAACCAAGTCAAAATAACATGCATTATCATTGTTCCATCGTGTTGAATCTAAGGATGTTGTCATAGATTATTTGTATCTTGTGACAATTTCCAAGACAAAATCAACGTTGTTTCTCTTGGCTATGCGTTACGTGTCCTGCAAGACATCATTTTGTATGACATCCAAACTTATCACTTGCACATATGATGTTTTGAGTAATCCTGCTTTACGTGCACGTTCTTGTCACAAAATTAGTAACTTTGTTCGGGTTATCATTCTTTTCAAATTGCAAAAAAATTTGAAATTTTTTGACATTTTTGGACATTTTCATTGGCACTTGAGTCGACGACAGATTAGAGCAATTCATTTCTTGATATACGTTGTTAAATCTTCATAAAAAACTATCATTCGATTGTTAACTTACATGGTTGGGCACTTTTGATGTTTCATCGTCACACTGGTGATGTCATGTTCTACATGGTGAGCAAGTTTTTGACAGTCCTTTCTCCAAATTGAACAATTTATCTTCTTGATTTTACGACCAATGGAGCCCGCAATATGACAAGACGGATTACTGATGTTGTTAGTAGCCTTGCCAACATGATGCACAAGGATTGTTCATTGATTTGGATTTGATGCAAAGCGCATCAACTAGATCTTGTTATGGAAAAGAAGAACAATCTTTTTATTGATGATTAGAATTATTACTCATTTGACACGACAGAAAAATTTGATTGCAGAAATGAAAACTACATGTCATCGTGTAGTTAATCGTTGGCTTTTGAAGAAAAAAGTCATCACTTGGTTCAAAATCCATTAGACACCATTGCTTGTTCATATCGAGTCAAAGCAATCAACTTTCGCTCCACTTTGACTTTGATGGGTTGCACTTGTTTCTATGCATCATTTCATCATTGGAGTAGTCGTTGCTGTTTTTGCTATTCAAGGATTAATTAATCTTCTATTTTAGAAGCAAAATGTCTTTGATAACCTTGTCGCAAATGTCATTGCCAACATTGAATTGATTGGATCACTCAATGCAAAATCAATTGCAAATATTGAACTATCGACGCACGTCATAGTTAATCATTTTGCAATTGCTTTGTCCAATGTTTAAAAATTTCTCATTGGTTTGGCTTCTTGGATTAAAACCTAACTTAAAAAGTCAATGAAAGCGATTGAAACAACCTTTAACACAACATAGCTTTTATTTATGTCACCGTTTAGTATCAAATTCATGAAAGTTTTTCTTATCAAGATCAAAACAACAATGCAATGACTGATTTTGTTCCTATTCTCCAATGCTATCACATGAGCTATATGTATCAAATTATATTCGAACGATTTGATAACATGATTTTTTATTGAAACATTGTTATTCATTAGATCAAATCAATATCATAACTGATGAGCAGAAAGCTCTAATCCACGCTCAAAGTTTTGAACAAATGATTGAAAGCATCGTCGATTCGCTTCCAGTAGTTCAAGTTTCAAGGATGTCTGGTCTTCATTTGGTAATTGATTTTTGAATCTGATATAATATTGTGGTGTAGTTGCAAAGCTTTATGCTGGAACTATCACGCTAAACTCTGATTTTTCAATTTTGCGCCGAAAGAAAGATTTGTTTTACAAAAGATTATCAAATTTTGGATTAGAATTAGTCATGCAAGCAAAAAAGTTTTTCTTCATAAAACATTTCAAGCATTGATAAATGCCTAGTACCATATTTGTATTTGAAATCGAGTAAATAATTTTTTTGGAGTAGACTAAATTTGTCTAACTTTGTTGGAGATTAAATTAGCCTAAATTAACCTTTTAAGGAGACTGAAATAGATTATATTCACTTTTATAATAGATTAAATTAGCCTAAATTAACGTTGTTGAAGAAACTAAATTAGCTCAAAGTAGTTTATTTGAGGAGGCTAAATTAATTGTATGAAGGTTCCTTAAGCTAATAACTAGTATAACCATGTCTGTGTATACTTATCTCATAAATTATATTAGTATATAATTAAAATTGTATTTAGAATTTTGGATTAATACTATTTCTTAGAAATTATTTTTTTGGAAAAGTGATAATTTCAAACTAATTTTTTTTTGATAATCTAGATTCAATAAAAAATTTATTGTTGAGAAAAATATATTTTTTCATAGAGGATGATTATTTTTTCTAGTGAAGATATAATTCCAAGAAATAATTTCACAATCTTAAATGAACTTTTTCCACTCATATCCTTTATTGAATAGTTTATCGTACATTGAATACAACATATTCAAATACACAACTTATTTTATATTTCTTCAGTGATAGATACAAATTTTTTAAGACCACTCAATGCAGTAAGATGAGTTTATAAAACTTTTGGTTATTCCACAAGTGATTTTGAGTGTCTAATATGCCTTGAGTACACTATCTTTGTGATGCTGCAAATACTATACGACTGTTCATAATTTGAGGATGTTTGTGCTTTTGATACGACATGTGTCATGTATTCCGTATATACTAAATATAAACGTCAACCTAGGGTTTCAGTTCTTCAAGTGAAATATGCGTTTTTCCCCATTAGAAAACACAGCAGTCTTAATTACCCAATTAGCAGTAAAACCATCACAAGTACACAAGTGGAGCTCAATCCATTCCGAAGAGAATCCAGGTTGACGCTTACGGGCATTCGCTCTACTCCCAACGCTAACAGGCTCGACTCGAAGAACGTCAATTCTTCGAGTCATTGTGGACCATATATTCTCAGAATTGAAACCCTAACTCGTTGTCTATATTTAGTATATACGTGAAATTAGTTGTGGTACATTTGAGTGTGTACGCTCAAATATATTCTTACGACACATGAGTGGAGATTAAAATGTATCACTATTCTTTTAAAAACGCATTAAAAAAGCAAGGTTGTGCAGGTTGAAGAGCAAGGAATCTTCCAAACGGAGAGTTTCAATATGGGAGATTTTTTTTGTAATAAAAATGGTTAAGGTGAGATTTAGGTGCATTCATTTGTGTTTATCAAGTACACTTCATATTCATCTCTATATATTTTATAATTACTTGTATGTCCACCTTGAAAAATCATGGAGAGAACTCCAACATCGAAAGCCTAGTTTTGTTTCCTTTGGTGGGAGGCGGCGGGAGGAGATAGAAATTAGCTTCAGAAGGCATGTACTTCTAGGAACGATGCCCTTTGAAATACGAGAGACGCAATATTTAGATTAATATTCTAGAAAAGTTTGGGAGTCCGAATATGAACTGAAGTTACAAACTTGAGAGTAGTTAAGGGCAAATACGGCGCTGGGCGACAAGTGTCTCGAGAGGACAACTCACGCACTGATTCAGAAAGCTGATTGCTTTTGAATTAGTGGAATTTGGGCAATTTGCACGGTGCGAGGGGAGGGGCCTACACTTCCGGCGGTCATGAGGCCGATGCTCTAATCCTGCATCAATGAAGCTAGTACCGAAAAATCCCGTCATGATATGCGCGGATGGAGTCATGATTTGTATGGCCCAGTTTTGTGAGGCGAGCAAAACCCTAGACGCGCCATCTATTCGGGTAAGTACTGGTCGGTCCCTAGACCGAAAGAGCCCCTGTATCCAAATCGAGTAATTCAAGGCATCTTCTCTGTCCGGCCAAAATGACTCGCATGTTTCTTATGCACATCTGACTCGAACATGACAATACCGAGACGAGAAGCTAATGATCCATTGATCATTTAGCTGCGATTTAGCATGATGTCGGTTCCCGCTGCCGTCGTACTTCAGGGGCTTGAGTTCCGAGTTCGAAGAAAGCTGATCCGGGTCTAGTCCAGTCCAGTCCAGTCCTGGACGGTGGGTGACTCGGAGGCGAGAGGAGGAAGCTCCCAGCTCGAACCGATTCATCGAATAGATCAGAGTGTGATTATGAGCCGAGCCCAGTTCCCCTCATCATGTACTTTGACCGAGGACGAGAAAACATAATCCGGATTTGACTTCGATTAGTGGGGCTAGTGCGCTGGGCAGGGCACACACCCTAACCAACAACAAACAAGACTCCTCGTCCTCGCGCTCACCCTCACCCTCGCGCTGTTTGTTAGCAGTTGATGATGATATAATTGCGATGGTGCAACTCACTCTCGTGTGCTGTCGTCAAGGCACAGTCAAAGACAAAAAGGAGAAGGCGAGGTGGGCGAGCGCAGCCCATGCAGCGTCGTCGAGCGGAGCGGGGCTGGCCGTCCCGGATTAGGCTCGGCTCTAATTGCGTGATTATGCATCGCGATCGCGAATGTGACCTCGGAAGTCGTCCGGGTGAGGAGCAGGCTGGCCGCGGCGGCCGCTCGAGCCGTTGTCGACAGCCTTATCGGTTGCCGGTTTATCGGAGGAGTCGGTTCGGGAGGGCCGGGTGGGGGGTGATAGCACGGGCCGGGAAGAGCCCGAGATCCGAAGAAGCCTGCGTGCTGCCCGCTCTGACAAGACAAGGTAATAAAGTATTAGACAGAAAGAGTCAAAGCGCAAATTGGTCAATTACCCAGAACATAATGATGATGTCGCCCTCTAATCAAGGTGGCCTTAACTACTCCACGTGGGAAGCACACATTTGCAGGAATGTCGTCGAATGTTGGCGTGCCATGTCATCCCCGGTCGCTGCCACCTCACAGGCTCGCAGACGTGAAAAAGCGGAATCTCCCGTACAGTACTGCCGCGCATTCACCGCGCTTCGTGAAGGAGCAGGGTGGAGTGAAACCGATAAAGCTAGTCGCGCCCATTAGATCGCGCATCCACGGCGGACGTGCAAGATGCCCGGGCCAGGTCCCTTGCCTCGGATGAATGCGAGGACCGAGAGTTATGGCCCGGTAATAATCCGTTTGACCGGGCCGTAAATTCTCCCAAAAGGGCAGGTACAGGAAATATGCGGCCCGGCGGTGAAAACTCCTGCGCCCGCTTTGACTGGCCGGGTAGAAAGAGGTGGACCCGACGCCCGAATCAGTGTGCTGATGATATCCGAGGGAGTTTATTGAATGTGGTGCAGTGTCACCCCTCGTTGCTTGTATACAATCTGAGCCCCGGTTCGTGGAGACGCACTCTTCCGCATCTGACCCTTCCGCTCCACCACCTCATCTCGTCCTCCGCTCCGCTCCCTTCGAGGCGCCCCAGCTCCTTTCATTCTCTCGGACTCGCCTGCTTCTACTTCTTCTTCTTCTTCTTCTCCTCCTCCCTCGACTCGACTCAAACATAGCTCGAGTATTCTTCCCGAACTTGATCCTGCGCCGGCGCCTGCATAGCGCTCTCTCGACTGGGCCGGCATTCGTCTGCTCTGCCAGCACCTCAGCTGGGAACTCAGGTTTTCAGGCGCTCGATTGCAAAATCCTCCACGCGACTGCGCGGGACGTGAGCGTTCTCAATCAAGGCCTGGGACTGTCTGTCTATCTATCTATGTTATTCCCTCCCTCCTCTCTAACCTCCTCGACGAAAAACTGCTGCTGCTGCTGCCGCCGCCGTGGCCTGGGGGGTGGGCTGCTGTAAAGACCGTCGATCAACGTCCGGGGTTGGATCTGACCATCCTTTGGGTTTCATGAGACCGGGCATCTCAGCCTCTCTGTGCTAGTGACGGCATACCTGAAGCTCGATGTTAAACTCTGGCTCGAGCACTGGAGCTGGCGATCTGAACTGAAACTGAACTGAACTGTTAGGGCCAGGGAGGAATGGTCGGCTGTTGACGGCTCTGTAGCACATCCAGGTTTCTGCGCAATCTGACTGCTAGGATAAGGAGGGTCCAGAGGACGGAGCTGTAAAAGGGCTGGTGGGGGTTTTGGAGCGACAATATGGATCGAGGGATCGAATATATGGACCGAGTACAAATGGAGCGACTCATCGTAGATGAGAGTGTGCTCTCGACGATGAGCATCCGACCTGGAGGTGCTCCCCCTGGCTGGTATTGCGCAGTTTGCACGGCCGACAACGACATGATTCACGACACGTGTCCGTCTTGCTCTCACAGTCGTTCATACACGGTTCAGCTGGCGATGCTGAGCCAGCTCACGGAGAACACTCCCTTTGGGTCGCAAGGCGGTCGAGGGATCACTGTTTCGCGTATATTGTACGGTGCCGTCACTGGAGCTGTGACCGGAGTGTTTGCCATCGGTGAGTTTTTTCATTTTGCCATTTAGTTCTCGTGGTTGACGCTCTCTGTACTCATCGTCGCTAAAAGTCGTCTATTAGCCGTCGTTTCGGGCCATGGAGGCCTCAGGAGTAGAGCTGCCATGCGTGGTGGCGTGATCCGTCCACCTTTCGTCACGCGTTGCTCGGAAGATGATTCGATTGTGGTCGCCTCGATACGTCCTCTGACCGTGTTCAGTTGTGCCAATCGTGCTTGTTAGCCATTTTGATCGCCGATCGTTTGTCGGGACTCCGTCGCTCATGTTATCGTTTGTTCGTTGGTTCAGTGGGAGCACTGACAGGAGCAGTCACCGGTGCATTTGCCGGCCGGTCATCGGACAATGGACTTCTTCGTGGCGCTGGGTTGGGTGCTCTCGCTGGAGCTGTTCTGTCTGTTGAAGTCTTGGAAGCCACTCGAGCTTATTGGGCGTCTGAACGTTCGGCTGCGAGCGCGGCCTCATCTTTGGTAGGTTCCAAACGCCAATGGATGAAGCGCTGAAGAATATGGGTTGTGCTTACAGGAGTTTACTCCGAAGTCAGACACTTCGTTTTTCATCTAAACTGACGGGAAGGTGTCTGGTTATGGCAGGCCGAGTTCCTCGAAGATATATTGAGCGGTCGCTTTGTTCAAGAACAACTTGGCCCAGTTCTCCTGGCTGCTCATCGCTGGCAGGTACAATTGAAATTGCCTCTCTTGGTCGATGTAGTGTTTGGGTAGTATTTTCACAGTTCTTGGATTTGTATAGAACCTTGTCGACATGGCTGTTACTGACGATTTTCTCGCTTTGCAGGGCAATACGGGAGAGCTATACGACGAACTCTCTGTGATGATCAATTCAACCCACACTGCCACGAAGGGAGGGTCTAAAACATCGTTGGATCAATTGCCCACTCATGTTGTGGACCATGACAACGGAAAGGATAGCGGCGACGAATATAACTGTTGCGCAATATGTTTGCAGGTGAGTTTTGTGGCAGTGCTTTTTTTATGTATACTAGAATGGTGATTTGTATGTATTACTAGAATGGTAGACTCTTTGTTGTGCAAGAGATGGCTTCGGACTTTGGCGAGGAATGGGTCAATTACCGTTTCTGTTGATCAGTCTCTGAATTTCTTTGTTGAACTTATTTATCACAGGAGCTTATGCAAGGAGAAACCGCGAGATCTCTGCCGCCGTGCCACCACACGTTCCACATGAATTGTGTTGATAGATGGCTTACGCATCATGGATCTTGCCCTGTATGTCGGCACGACATCTGAAAACGTTCGACGGAGAACTTGATTGAGTCGCTGAATGACCCTTATGAAATAATTGTGGTCGCCTGTATAGATACGAGGATAGATGTGTAGATCGTAGGGTAGGTAGGTTGTAATCGTTCATGTAAAGTTACATTTAATTATTCTTGTTTAGGCTTTTGCACCGAGGTTCAAATTTCTTCGGATAAGAGTATAGCCTAATGCAAAATTAACATCTTTTGAAGATGAAATACAAACTGTTTCACACATCTCAATGGGCGTTAACTGCAGTTGTATAAATCTTGCAATATTGTAAGTTTTCCGGACAAAAATTGAACTCGGTACAGACGGATTTGTGAGTGGGTCTGAGAATTATCTATCAATTCGAATGAAAGGGGAAAGAGTTTTGTAACTATTGTATCTGTATCATCTGCGAGACAGCTGGCTTAACTCGAAAAGAATGGTTGTAAAATTGAATGTGAAGTGTGTAATGGTAGTACCCCCTCAGCGTCTGAAACATCTGTCGAGCTACTTTGGATGTAAGCTGAAAAGTGTGCGAGATATTATCCCCTTGTCTGGTATATGTCCGGCAGGGCAGAGATTATTGCATGAATCAGATGAAACGTATACATGTGACATGTGACGTTGAGTCCTCTTCCTCTGCTGTGAAAATTGGTGCAGCAAAATCTGCTTTTTCGCATCAGACCCGGAGGTCCTTGGCTTACCTCGGATAGAATCATAGTACAAGGCCAAAAATGGAGGGTGTGATTTCGTAGAAATCCTAAAATTTTGTTACTATCTGGCATTTTCTATCTTAGCAAAACGCTCTCAGTTCTGTCGAATGAAAGGTGGGGTGGAGCTTCAACCCAACCTATTTGAGAACAGTCAGCCGCTATGGTAAGTATGGAGAGATGTCGAATGAAACCGCGTAAGACTTTGATGATTTTGTTTCAATGAAAGCCGAAGAAATTCTGTCAGATCCATGTCCAGGCCATCTACGTGAATGTATGTAGTCAGTACAAGTAGTACAGCCACGGTGTAGAGATTTGGTGTACCTGCTCATATGGAAACCTACAACGATAGAAAAGAGATAACTATCAATCATCCACAGTGGCTACCTGTTTGTTAGTAACAATGAAAACAATTCCGCTTTGACCGTTTGTCCCTGATGCTCATCCACATTGGAAAAGGTTTCAAGCGAAAAGGAACAACATACTGCTCCATGAGGATAAGAACATTAAAAATAGTGCCCGCGGCACCTGAAGAAATGAGAATGCAATCTGCTCGTCCTTCGAGCAAATCAAGTCACGGCATTGGTTTCTGCGGTACGAGCGTGCACATCTTTGAATTTCCCTCGCGAACAAATGAACCACCTCAAGATGCTGCTGACCACCTGGTTACAAAACTCGTCTCGGTCGGTGATTCTGCTCCTCACTCAGCGAGTGTCGTTCACAATCTGCGAGAACGAACGGTGCACTCGTCCGCACTCGATCCTCGAATGAAATCCAAATCCCTGGTTTCGGCATCCCCCATCTTTCCACTTTTCTCAAAAGGCAAATGGCAGAATAAAAAATGGGTGTCATTGGTCGGTGCCTCACCACACAATAAGCGATTCTCAAGAGAAAGAAGATAGCATGAGCACGAACGGGAACGAAATTCTTCGCCAAAGTAGGCGGTGCCCGCCAATGTTAGGCGAACATGCACTGGGAAGCCCACTTTTTGTCGGAAAACCTCAACATGCATCTGTCTTTTAAGGCTGCCACCAAAATATATTAAAAGCGAGCGGGCGAGCGAGCGAGAAAAGCTGCCAGTGGTGTCCCTAGGATCCTCTAGGCCCTGTCAGAGTTGCCTGACTATTGTAAGCCTCCTCTGACCATCTTGTCGGACCATGCTGCGTGCATCCACCTCCGGGCCTCGCTTCTCTATTCTCGACTTTCCGGCCTTGCTCGGCCCCAGCTCTGGCACTCGAAACATTATATCGCCGGTGCCTTTGACCTTGAATCGTCGCCCGCCCGAATCTTATTCACATCCACCCATTTCGTCGATGCCTAAACTCTTCCTCATGGGCCTTCTCTCCCGGTGCCTCTTCCGGCTCAGAGTGGCGTGATGAAGAAGGTTCCCAGCAGCTCACCGTCCCGCATTTGGGAATCCTGCTGTGCGGCAGGAGTGGGGATGGGTCTGGGTATGGGTAGTAGCAGTTGGAGGGTGCCTCGGAGTGCAAGAGGGCTTGCGCAATTTCGCTTTAACCTTCCTGACCTTTCGAGATTCCAGAAGATGGAGCGCGGGGCGAACAAGAAGTTGTTGAGAAGTGTTCGCGTGTTGAGCTCTGCTCGACAGCAGCAACCAGGGGTCCCGGGCGGGCATGGCAGGGCATGGACAATTGACTTCTCATCTCCGGATCTCGTTGAGTGAATGACTGACGTCGCGTCGCGCACCCTCCTCGGACCTGCGATCAAATTTCACCCGTGTCGCTTGTCCTCTCTTCATCCGAGAGCCCAAATCACGCAACCCGCTCGCTCGCGTGACACGGACGGTCTTCCTTTTCTTTTGACTGCCCGCCGCTCGAAAGTCCGGTTCGAGGGTGTCCCAGATTCAGGACACAGGCATTATTTCTCGGAAGCTGGACTCTCACTCGCTGCGTTTCACGTCGGCCCTCGCTCGATCTGCTCCCTCTCCGGGGCCCAGCAGGGCTCCCCTTCTCGCACGAGGCTCAGCCTTCGTACTCGCACTTGCGCCAAACCCTTTCACCCTCGGGACGTCCAAGAGTCGTACTCCCTCTACAAAATGGCCTCCTCCTAAATTTGGCAGCGCTCATTAATTTGGCGATATTTTCGGAGGGAGGAAGCGCTCGGGCTGTGACCGGCTGCAGAGGCTAGGCTAGGCTAGGCAAGCGGGCCTGGAAGCGAAGGTCGTGAAAAGTAGCGGATCGCCCGACGACTGACGACAGACAGGAAAATAAATAAAGGGTGCTGGAAAAGCTGGACCAGCAGACATTCAATAGCATCAAACATCATCAGGCGGAGCGCAATCAATCGGCTCTGCTTTCGGGTTGTCACCGGAACGCGGCGCGCGGGCGAGCCCGGTGCCCTCGTTCCGACGTGGTTCCCGCGCAGGACGGGACTTGTGCTGCTGCAAGTTGCCACTGGGTCCATCTTAATCAGCGAGTCGCAAAAAATCGACAGACGCTGACATGGACGAATCATGCGCCTGCGGCGAGGAATCGCAGTCACGTGGAGGGCAGTGCATCCTCGCTGCATCCTGCGACCGAAAGTCATGACGGTCGCTGCCTTTCAATGCCGGTGGCGCGCGCGAGCGCGCGAGAGAGAGAGAGAGAGAGAGAGCGGGGGCAAGAGCGCTGTCGAAGAACTGCGTACCGTGCAGAGCGACGGAGGGTGGATCATGTTGTCTGTCTTAAACGAGGGTGTTACCAGATAGGTTTTGCTCGACAAAATCTGACACTCTCGAATCATTCAGCTGACACGAAAACGAATAAAGCTCACGTGGGTTGCAATCCATGTCGATTGTCGCATCGTATTTCGCCCATTCCCATTCTCCCCCGCCATCGACCCATTGGTTGGAACTCGGCCCCCCTTGGAGCTTCGTGATCGTATATATGTCGCTGTAAAAGACAGTCGCAGGATACTTAATTCCCCGATGACAAAAGATTCCAGGTGGAATCATTCTTCTGTTCAGCCAGGCACGGCGAGGCATGGCAGGGCATGGCAGGCAGGCAGGGCCGTCCTCGTATATTGTCGACTCGGCAGGCATTCGACCCCTCCACCATTGCATGCCGAGGTGTACCGAGCTCGCATCACAACAGACTCGAGTCACTCGACCTCGAGGTCCAGGTCTTGATAGACATTTTCTGGCTTAGGCCAATCATACTCGCATGTTGTCGGAGACATCATTATCTCTGCCGCTACTGCTGTACAGCCCGCAAGCGAGTAGTTTACCATGTCGTATCAAAAACCGCACATGATTAGCGTCATCAGCGCGTCGAAAAATCTGGTTCACGTGGTTACGGAATAATCGGAGGGCGAGCTCGACAAAATTCTTCGGGTCCAAGTTGTGACAACATTTGCCGTTTATGCTTAAAATCCAGTTGAAGGTGAAAGTTTGCCCGTTCTGGACCTCGCCCTCACCCTCGCCGTTCGACTCTTCGTGCGGTCCTTTATCGTCCTCGAGTCCAAGGCCTGCGAAGAAAGCTCATCATTCTCGTCCTAGTCTGATCATCAAAGAAGGCCTACACTTGCGTTGGTTGCCAAGAGCGACGAAATTGATTAATGCCCCCGGCTCCTCTCTTCTCCATGGCCAAGTAAGTGGATTGCAGGTCGAGCGCACTGTAGAGCTTTGTAGCTCACAAACTCGTGTTGCGTGGATGGCTGAATCATTGCGTTTTGATTCCTCAAGCCCCAATGATTTTTCAAGCTTGCCTGCCTGCCTGCCTGCCTGCCTGCCTGCAAGAGCCTAGCTGCCTTGGCAGGCATCGTAGATTAGATGATGATGACGGGTGCTCGCAGAAACAATTTTGTCCCACGTCTCTAACATACTTTGAGCCACAGGATTATAACGGATCACGCTTGTCTCCCGCACAACCTGCATCTTGTTCTCCAAAGCTCAGGCTCCAGGCTCAAACCAGCGCTCCTCATTTGTGTCGCCGGATGCCCAAGGCACAGCAATTCCTTCGGATCACGACCGGTGAGAAAATCTGATCATCAGTGGCCTCTGCGCACTGAACCGTGAAAAGATGTGCTTTTCCGCCCCCCTTGAACTTTGGAATGATGATTTACATCAATTGCACACCGAAGCGAGGACAGTACCGCAGTCCACTTATCAACAGGATACAATCGTCCCCTACGCACTGATGAACTCGTCCTAGCCCTCGAGCAGGCTCATATCGAAAAGCATCATAATAAAATGGTGATGATGGGATTCTACCCAAGCCTGGCCTGGGCTAGCCTCTCAACCAAATAGCGAATCAAGTTCACGTGGGCTCATGCATCGGACCCGAGCCTGGCTCTGGCGACCGGTGCCCTACATAATGCCCTCCTGATGAACGCTACTCTACGCTTAGACCTCCGCCAGGCGCCTGGTGCAACTTGGACGATTCTCGGTCATCGGCTGACCCGGCCGTCATTACGCTCCCGCTACGTACCGTATTCCCAGATCTGAACCGCGACACCGGACGAGTACGCCCCGATCTGACCGGTCTTGATGCCGATTTATTATTATTTCATCTGATATATACAATATCAACATTATGCGTGTACAAGACAAGACCATTATTTCATGTACGGATGTCTTTTAACTTCGTCGCCTTGTCATGAATCCTAAAAACTCAACGTGAGATTTCATCCAGTTCTTTAAAATCTCGAAAATCATTTTATGATGTATAGGACTCCATCGTATTAATATATTGCACAAGAAGAAATTCATGATAGAAGAATGGTATATAAAAAAAAATTGGATAGAAAAATCATTTGATAATGATATTTTAACAATTGTCCAAAAAACGGAAAGAAGTAAACAAAAGTCAGGTTTGATAGAATCGAAGCTCTCCAACAAGATTCTTTCTCGCCCAATCACTTGTTATTCTGTGTTGTGCCCACACAACTTTTGTTCTATTTTAAATTTAGAAAACCTCCAAAATCTTAATTTTCGTATATGAAAATTTAGCATCATTCTTCAAGATTTATTGAAAAAATAAATTTCATATACAATTCAATAAAAAATATTGAAATATAAATTATTTTAAATCCAGGAAAAAAATTATTAATTATTAGAGTTAATAGAGATAATATAATGAATTTTAATTTTATTTATTTCAGTATACTACTGTGATTCATTGCTACTGATTTTAAATACTCTGAAACTGTATTTTTACTGCATATTTAGAAATATTATTATCATAAAATGCACATAAATTCAACTATACATTACAATTACGTATTTAATGATTATAAAATACATTAAAATGAAATTTTTGATATCCATAATAAATAAACAGATGTTCTTCCGGATGGATTTTCATGAAAAATGATAATTGAGATAAAATTCACAAGAAAAAAGAATTCGAAACATCCTAATGACATGATATCCATGCCCACGTATGTATGTTATTATATATATTTATAAAATTTCATGCAGATTTTTAATAAAACCTCTTACGTAATACTTACTTTCATATTTCAATTCTTCCATAGTCAAACCAACTAAAATTAATCAAAATTTGAGTTAATTTGTAGCAAAGACCTATAAATCGTTATAATAAGATTATTTTCTATATATGTGCTTATTATATAAAATCAATTCTCTAACCTAGAATATTCACTCATACAAAATTTTGAGATGTTTTCATTATCAGTATATAAATTAATTAATGATAATTTTATATTTTTGATTATATACTAAATTTATTTAAATTATAATTGATAATTTATTTTTTCCAATATATATTTCACTTCTCACTACACTTTATTTCATGCTGATTTTTGTTAGTATATCTTACAATATTTATATACGAAAATGTAAAAATGATCACACATAGACTAGAGACATCACATGAACTGTCAAAATATTATTTTTTTTGCACACAAGTAAACATTTGGAGTCTCACAAGATACTCCTTACACTTACACTTTGAGGTCTCATATGTGTGTACTTAAGAGTATCATGCTTGATTGTGTTTTTTGCATATATGGATTAATATGTAACAAAAACACGCTAGTAGATGATACAAAAGTCTCCCACTTAAGTACGCACTCATTTAGGTACGCATCCCAATTAAGTATGCACTTTATCAAGAAAATTTCAGGCTTCAACATTTTTAGTGATTTCACTTTAAATTTTAAAGTTATCACTGTAAAGTTCAAATATTTTAATATAACATATTGTGAATGATAATATGACACATGTTTTGATTTTATTTTTTTGCATCTAGATTTTGATTACTACTGCTCGTATCTTAGCTTGAAATCTTTCAAACAATTTTTTGAGATCGTCAAATGACACCTAGGCTTCTATTTGAACTATAGAATAGAGCAATTGATACTCAATATCGAAAATATTTTTATACAAGGTTTCAATTCATAAAATCACTTCTATCCTGTGAATCTATAATCTCATTATGTAAATTAATATTGTCGTCATCAGACTTGCTTCATCAATTCTCATCAAATCTAACAATCTCTCAACGTCTTCTAGCAATGCTACAGCATATTTTTCATTGTATCATCGTCAATGTGAACAAATTCTTTCAAATTTGATTGGTCAATCAATAAATTTATGTTTTTGATCGTTTCAGCTAACTCAGCGATCATCAAACTAATTTTGCTCTCAACCCCTAGTCCGGGTTTCATATTCATGAGCTCTGCATCACATAATGCATTTTTTCAATAGAACAAGACCAAATTCAAAGTGTCTTTCACATAGTTTGCAACGTACCTTCAACGTGCAACGTGTTAAATTTTTGTAAAACAAATCATGCTGCATCTAGTTGTAATCTTTTTTCCAATTCTCTTTTTCACTCTTTCAACTGCTCGTCAAGCTCGTAAAAGTTGAGGATAACCTTTGAGATATAAATATTTATATTTTTTCTTGAGAACAGCAATAATTTCCATATCACAAGATTGTTTCCAACGGATACAGTTTGGAGTAAAAAATACCACACAAATTTTGTTGACTTCAAAAGCATTGAAGTGTCATGGCGCATAATCCATCAGTAAAAGAACATTATGTCTTATTCATCTTTTGATTTCTGGAATGAAAATTTCGTTGAACTATCTCCAGGAGATTTTCACGTCCATACAAACTTTCATTTGCTTGAAATAAAGAATTGGTCAGTGTCAATTTTTAATACACACTAGATCTTTTGACTTTTCAATCATTACGCAATGAATTTTGTGTGATCTAAAAGCGTTCTCACAAACTATCAAAGAAACATGATCTTTTGATTTGTTTTTAACTATGATGCTTGAAATATCCTTGTACAACATAAAATTAGAAAATCTGGGAAGCAAACAAACATAAATATTGTCTTGTTAATTTTGTACACATTCTCAAGATTGTATGGAGCGATGATGAGCAATGATACTTCTAAGGTTGATGTAATCCATGATCATATTTTTCAAACTCTGCGCCTTCTCCGTGCAAAAGCATTTTCTGCAGACCTCAACATGTCTTGAAACGATCAAGCCATTGCCATGAGGCCTTAAAATTTAAATCAGAAATTAATAATGTAGAAGCGATAACTTTTGCCTTTGCAACTGCTAGAGATGGAGGGTTCCGATGAAATGATGTCAATCCAAGTGTACAATATTTCTTCAAGTTCGAAAAATCGTTCAACTGAACCTCAAAATTTAATCTTTATAGTTTCTTCAGAGAGTAAAGTTAATCGTTTGAGAATGAAATCTCATTTCCCCCATATTTTTTTATAACATCTTCGTTAATTTCATACTTATAGGATTAATCTGTCTCAGTTTTGAAATGATCTCACATCGTTGAGACTCATTCAGACGCTTGGTGTTCAATTTTTTTGACATTGGAGCTCTATGCAAATGATTTGTAAATGAAAATGTTAAGCATGCACCTCCCGGTTAGTACGCACTGAAACTTAGATTCAAGTTGCGTACTTAAGTGAGAGACTATTGCACTTGATTTGAGTGCGAAAAAATTTATTTTTTACACATGACGTGTCTGTGGTCGTTTTAATATTCTCGTATATATATACTCTTTATCTATTATATAAAAAAATAAAATGAAACAAAAAAACATTGAAAATAACATCATTGAATTAAGAGATTTTAATTCTTGTTAACAAACATTGATACGTAGCTTTAATCATTGGCATTCACTTCAATCCTTTACAAACAAGACAAAAATTATAAAAATCACATAATTGATATATATATATATATTATTCAAATGCTATATTCTATCATAAAAACTTATAATTAGCTAGATAATATGATCGTGTATATATTTCTTTTGCAAACTGAAGTTATACAAGATTTAAAGTAATTTGAAACAAAACATACACATGACTTTTGTTTATAACATGAAGGTTTTATGAATGCTACAAATTAAAGCATCAAAATATTCAATATTTAAAGCCATTAATTTTGCAAAATTTTAATGTACTTATATGTGCAAAATTACTTAAAATATGAATTAGATTAGTTAAACTATATATTATAACAATAATGAGAGAAAATTCAAAAATTTTAATCACTTTATGCTTGATTGTTTGAAGTGTGAGACTGATACTTAAAAATTTCATATCAAAGTGAACACATCTAATTGATGTAGCATTTGAACATTTAGATTTCAAAACTATAAGGTTTCTATATGGGTTCATTTTTGTGGTAGGGTAGGTTAATTATGAGGAGGTTTCGAGAAAAATGTAGGCTGATGTAGGTTAAATTTGGGGAAATTTTGTGAAACGAGCTAAAAAAAATATAAATTTATGTTTCAAAAAATATATATGAACCTAAAATTTCTACAAACTTGAGACTTTATTATTGAAGTTTCAAATTTATGGTATGAGAAATGTGCTCAATTTCATTAACAGATTAACTTTCATAATATTGAATAATATTTCAAACTTTTATTTCATAGTCTAATTGATAGTAGATTATAAAAACTTTTTCACAAAAATTTCTAATTATATATTCCATTATTTGTCTTAATGAAGACAGTTATGTGTAATTGTTCTTTTGATCCAATCCACAACCACTAAAAAGTCTATAACATGTATATTAAACATCTATACATGATTAGCAGGCCTCTTCAGATATGGCATTTGGAGGTGCTTGTGCCATATTTGTCATAAATAATTTTTCCGTGATGCCATAAATAAGATTGAAAGTCTGAATATTCTTTCGTTCTTCTTCACAATTGAAAAGTTTTTCTTCTATCTTGTATGATGTTGATGAAATATCGTCAAAGAAATGCGAAACTCCATTCGATATCTCTAACAAACTTTACTATGGACTGAAGATCTTCACGTAAGGTGTCGTTACATAGGTTTTGTGTCGCTTGTTCCAATTATGGGCCATGAAAAAAAAGTCGAACAGAACCAAAAATCCGGCTAGAACCACAAAATACTTTAAGGCTCCATATCAGCTAGAGCTGGGATCACAACATCTCAAAAATCAACACTTGGCAATTATGGAGTGAATATCATGCTCCGTAACTAAAAGTCAAACGAACTTTCTTTGAATACTATCTTACTCGTTTTGTTGAGTAGAGTTATCAGTTGTATTTGGATATTAATGTAAACATCTTCGACACAATTCTACTAACTCTTATTTGATT